CCCCCCCCCCAAGCAGGCCACCAATTGCTATGTCCTTTTCATTATAATTCAAATCCTTGAAATGTCAAGGAACTTAGTATCTCTGACACTTTCATCTCTCTGGCAAACTTAATGGAAAGCAGAAAATGAGTTCAAAAGTTATTAGGAGTCAAAAGATACAGACTAGCTGCATGGCCACGACTATCTCACTTCATGATGAAGTAAAAGTAACAAACCCTGCAAAAACCTTACCAAAATCCTGGGAATTCTGGAAAAAAGGATAGGTAAAAGTCTGTGGTGATTTCATCAAAGTTCCCCAATGGATTTCCAGCACAGCAAACTCAATCCAGCCTAGACTCCGCTGGGCGTTACGACAATGGATCGGCACGGCTGGCAGCACGAGCAAGTCTGGTGCGAAGAGAAACTGCCGACTTCCTCCTTACTCATGTCAGAGGCAGCACAGGACTTCCTCTTTGCCTCCTACTGCATGGTAGGAGTGAGGGGATGACAATCTAAAAACACATCAGCCCAGAAAAAAAAAAAAAAAAGAAAACCAGCATGGCATGCTTCCACTGTTTGAAAGGTAGGTATGATTTAAATAGTTATAATCCCCAGAAACTATCATCTAGTTCAGGTCATCAGCTAACAAGCTGGTTAATTCCTGTAAGGAAGGATTAATGCTTGAAATTATTATGCCTGACAGATGTTTGTTGAACAGGTATTACTCCAGAAGACGCAGCATGAAAACCAGCAAGAAGTGCAGACAGGTACATGTCAGAGCTGGGATTTTTAGAAATCATTAGCTCAACCTCTAACATAATTATAATTTTCCTTTCTACCCACTTTATCTTCTGTTTCTTTTTTACTCTCAACTCTCTAGCAGGAGATTCCCTTCACAGGGGAAACTAATCTAGTTTCTACTATCAGTTACAACCATGCAATGTGAAAAAGAGTTAGCTGATATTTTCATGCAATACCACAATTGTGCACAATTTGGCTGAATGAATATACTTTGTAGGTGTTAGCTATCTCTCATGATGGAGCACATGATGAATTCTCCATTCCTGACTCCTCAAAGCTAGTGGAAAATATAAGGCATCATTCTCTCTCAATTAATTATGATCCTGCTGCATACATCTGCTGTTAGACATTCAATGAAACCCTCTGGTTTGGTCTACCCACCCACTGCCATTTGCATTATCCTAATAAATCTAGTTAATATACTCCAAGACCAAACCAGATCCCTCTTACATTCAAGCTAGTATAAATCCAAAGCAAGTCCATATGGTCAACAATCTCTATAGTTTTACAGTTGCTGTGTATCATAATTTGTACCATACTGAACTGCATTTCTAGCATTACAGTAAAAGTCAGGAGGAAAGGTGGAGAAATCAGTGAAAACAAAAATTGGGGAAAAAGTTAATTCAAATTCTATTTCCAAATTATAAATTACAGATACAAACAGGGATAAAACTATAAACTTCTCCACCAATTTCAGAACCAGGCAGCACAAGTGAACAGCATGGGGAAAAACTGAAGAAAGGAATAAAGATGGGATGAAAAACTAGGTGGCACAGCAGCAATGGAATAGAAACTGTCGATCAAGCTAACTATGTGAAGTTGCTAATACAGAGGATTAACTGAAGACCTTAGGTTGTGACCCCCATGTGCCACAATGACCCCAGTGCAGCCAACCAAACACAGAATTTGCCACCAATGGTGAAAAAAGCCAAAAGACGTAAGAGGAGGAACATCTTAAAGAGTTATCAATGCTGTCAGTACCTCTAGAGAAGGAACTGATACACCAACTATCTTCCAACTGTCTTGTTAGCCTTTTGCTAACATGAATAATCCTTAGAAACGATAAGCACATCTCAAAACACATCAGCTTGCAGACTAAAATATACAGTGCCTGGGGGAATGTAAACTGGAGAGCAATCCATTTATCTGAAAGTCAAGGCAGGGTTGTTTTAGGATTATGCTGCTGCCTCAATGGTGGAGTTAAAAATGCCTACAAATGAACCCCTTCACATGCTTTTTCTCTGTTCTCTCTCTCCTGTAGTAAATCCCATTGTCACTGTAAATTTGCCATAGTCCTGTTAAAGAAAAGGACTGAAACTACTAGTACTGAGGAAGCAGAGCATATATGGCTAACATCAGCTATACACAGCAGCTTCTAAAACACAGTAAGAATTGGTCTCTTTGGATGACGAACTGAGAAGGCAAAGGAGCCCAGTAGCTACCCTCCGTGAGTACAGTCACAAACCAGAGGCAGCAATAAAAGGATCAAACTAACAGTCAGAAATGCAGAATTCCCCATAAAACTTTCAGAAAGTTGACAACATATCTTAAATACATAAATCCTAGGTTACCACTTGAACATAATTCCCTTTAGACCCAATTTGATTTTACATTTTTCCATATTCTAAATGGAAACTGCAGTTTCAGCACATATTCCAAATGTTCCCACATCTGACATGCCATTCCCTTCTTTTCTATACAAAGAACACTATTTTCAGTTTCAGTGGGGGACTGAACAGTGTTTTTCCAACTCTTCAGGCCAACTATCATTTCTGTTGTGGTAGTGGAAAGCATTTGAATGGCCCCTTCTTTAGCCTGACATCTCTATGTTCAAATTTGGGTTCAATTACAACTGTAAGAAAACCGGTCGGATGATCTTAGATTACCTGACAGTGTGTAGGCACTGCAAAGCAAACATATTTCTGCAACCCCAGTTCAGCCCATGGAGTTAAATGACTACACTGCCCCACTGATTAACCTGCCACACTTAAGTGATAATCTGGACAGACCGGCCTCATTGCCCACTGATCGTCTGCATGTTTGAACAGCCAGTGATGTACCAGACCACTAACTGTTTAGGAAAAGAAACTGTCATCCCAGTAGGGTTACAATTTATGAATTTTTAAATTACGAAGCATTGTCTGAGTTTTGAGAAAGAGCTATGAAATCCCTCAGGTAGAAAACAGAGCAGCAGTATAAAATATTTTTTTTCCAAGGAAACCATTACAACTGTGTTATACAGCTACTCTGCAGAGGCTCAGGTCCTAGCTGTGAACCAGCACTTCTGCAGGTAGCATGTGGAGAGCAGCAAGGGTATCCTCAATTCGCTGAGGTTACTGCTGAGGCAGAAGAGATGAGGCAGAATATGGATACAGACGAGGGGACACATATAGGAGCAAAGAGGCAGTATTAGTCAGCATGAAAAGCCACAGGCAGAGAGGCAGCTGCCTAACCACAGTTAAATTTCCATAGACATTGCTGAGAGATGGTCATGACATGGATCTGGGAAGGATTACTTGTGAGTACATTACTGGGAGAAAAAGCATGAAAGTGCTCAGGTGAAAGTCTACCAAGAGGTAGTGGAGATTCGTACTATAGGCTGGCCAGACATGGAAGCTGCTCTCTTTGTAACAAATAAAATGCAGTTTGGGGATGTACGGGAAACAAAATTTCCATCTTCTGGGAAAGATCATAACTGTACTCTGAATTAGAATAATATTGGTATAAAGGGACTGACCATGCAATTGCTACTCCCCAAAGAATCTGCTTTGGAATTGCTGTGAAAGGACTTTTCAGAGAAGGAACACCCACACCAAAACATTCAGGTTGTCCTAAGTACTGGGCTTGGAGGTAACTGGTGGGGGTGGCACAGACAGGCATCAAGTTTTTGGTCTCTCTTTCTGGTACAATTTCACTCTGTAAATAATGAATCATTATGCAGAACCTAATCATTAGGCACAGCCTAATGATTCATGTGTCCCAACTGCAAACTGAACATCTGAAAGATCAGGCTGAGGCAGTAATTATGCTCTGTCCCATTTAACAAGACAAAAAGTATTTTGACTTTATCAGTTAGCATTAAAAAAAAACTCCAAACATAAAACCCCAACCCACACACAGAACCAAACCTTGAAAAATGTCAGATCTGGTTTGAGCAAGACTAAAAGGACCCATGGCTATTTGCAAATCCCTGAACTAAGGTGTAACCTGCTGGTAGCAACAACCTAAAAGCATTTCACAAATACCAGAGTGATAGATGACACGGGAAGGATTCACTATAGAAAACAAGTACACGTGGAGCACTGAAGGAGCTTGTTAAGATCCAGGTAAATTCCTCAGCACTGACTAAGTACAACTATTCAAGACCAGCAGGGCTTTAAAAAAAAAAAAAAAAAGGCCATGACATTTAAAGCATTGGGATTAAATATAATTACTTTAAAAAATGTTTTTTATAAACACCTTCATCTCTTTCATCAGACAGCAAATACTACTTATACTACTTCACTCTGCAGACCAGAATGACACTACCAGCCCTCCTCCATCATTACATATTCTCACAATACACAATTGCTGGACAAGCAAACAGCTGAGGGAAGAAATAAAGTAATGCTGGGGGCATTTTCAGGGTTGCTGTTAGCCCCATTCCAAGCACCCCCTAGGTAACTGCCATCAGGTGGGTATGGTGTACAAGCATCGTGAAAAGGGATGCCTTTAAGAGAGTGTCTGAAGAAGGGGTATTTTACAGTTGATCAGAAGATGTTCTTACCTGTCTTCTACAGCACTGGATAAGGTCCATGGTGTTTCAGGCAAAACAGGGATGTGGACAACGAGATCTAGGCTGGTGGGTGGTGATGAAAGCTAGCTTGTGGACAGCTGGAGGTGGCACAGTTATGAGTGCCTCATGCAGCCTAGGGTGCAGGCAGCTGCCAGGCAATGACACGCTCCCGCTCCCTCACCTCCTCGCAGTAACTTCCTCTCACTGCTTTGCCATCATTCTCTTTCTTTCTTCTTATTTGTTTCCCTAATTACTTATTTATTGATTCTACACTAATCCATGAGCTTCTCTCAGGACAGGGAACAACCATTTTGGGGATCTGCATAACAATGCCATTCTTCTGGCAAGGATCTTTAGTTCTGGACCAAGAGCTCAGTGTCAATGGCATTGCCTTCCAACTGAAGTCCTTCAGAGGAGAAGCAGTCATACTTGGGTTTGGATTTGAGAAAATCTGGATAAAGAAATTAATGCTACACTAAAAGCATCTTAAAAGAAATTAAGTAGTAACTAGGGAACAAGCACACGAGGAGAGGGGGAGAAGTTCTACAAGACAGGAATTTGAAGCTTGAATATTAAAAAAAAACAAACAAACCAACCCCAGGGAAGCTTGAAGTTTTTTTTCCTTTCTTTCAGATTGAAGGAATTTTTTGTAGATTGGTATCTCACACCAGCAGCATGCACCCACTGACAGAACAACTAATGAAGTTGGCAGGTCTATAAACTGAGAATACAAGGGAAAATCTCAGGCTCTGGTGAAGCCAAGGGCAGTATCATCACAGAGCCAAGATTTCTACCCTGACTCCTACGGACTTAAAAGACAAGGTAACAAGAAAATTATTCCTTAGGTGCTCTCTTTATCTGGAGATCTAAATTAACCCAAGTGCTTCTCTGGTGTTTACTGAGCTAGCATTATTAGCCATGTACGTCACACAAAGACTGTGCTTAACCCGCTGCAGCTA